ATGTTTCAGGCCTTAAAAGCGCGCGACATCATTGCGGAAAAAATCACGAAACGAATTCGTCAGAAAATAAAATCGAGGAAGTCAGGAGATGAACCAAATCATTATGACGTGCTGTCATTCATGATGGATAAAACAAAGCCAAATGGAGAAAAATTTACAGAGGAAGAGATGAAGATGGCTGCATTTGAACTTTTGTTTGCAGGTATGATATTATGCTCAGGAAGTCTCCAGTTGGCTGTGGCAATTGCGTTAATTCCTGCATATGGAAATATGCAGGCAGCTGTGGTAAGGCTGTGGTAAATCAGGTGGTTGATTTTTTATATCGTAGGTTAGCCACTCATGTGTTCTTGCACAAATGTAGTGGAGAGTCAGTTTAGGTGTTTTTCTTCCAATCCCAGGGTCCTGGCTTCAAATCCTTTGAAAGCACAGGATTTTTTTCTCACAACGAAAAAACATCTCCACCAGTGACATATCTAGGAGTCTTGAAATGGTGGGAGCGGGAGGGCTGATGCTGTCTCTTATACACATCTAGATGTGTATAAGAGACAGATATCATTGTGTACACGGGGGGGGGGTGGGGAGCTGAATGATTAGGTGAGGGGGTGCTTGTAAATCGCCAAATAAAGTGATTTGAAGTGATTTTTAACTATTTGAGTATGATTTTTGTGGAGAAGGGGGAAGCTTGTGGTTTCCACTCCCATACCTCATAATTAGACTTTATAGGACAAGCCATTTTAAAGAAACCATTTGCTGAGGTTTATTTTAACCACTGTCATGGAATTATGTGAATGTGAACAAAAGGCTTCTCTGTAACTTTCTTCTCTGTTCAGCATAATAAGGATGCGAGTTATCCGTTATTCTCCTGCCCTAATTTTTTTTATCATTCAAATATTAGCAAAATCATTAATACTGTATTTTTCATTTATTTTTACTTTTTCAAGCTCATGAGAATCCAGCTAGTGCCGCATGTTCTCTCATCCGGTTCTTGGGAACCCATCCAGATGTTTTACGCAAGCTCCGCCAGGAACTGCAAGCCAACAACCTGCTTGATAGCTGCAATCAGCTCAACTATCATACTGTCCAGCGTATGCCGTATGTTGAACAAATTGTTAAAGAGACGCTTCGCTTGGCACCACCAATTACTGGTGGATTCCGTAAAGCGTTAAAGCCATTCAACGTTGGAGTAAGTTGAGTTTGTCCAAACAGTTAGAAGGGTCTGAACTGTCCGATCACTTTATTGGATTTCTTTTTTAACATACTGCTTGAAATAGGCTATATTTTCATCTATGATGAGACTATCAAATACAGTATGCGTTCATTCTTGTTGGAGAAACAAAATCAGTGGGGGATATATAAAACTAAATCGCCCTTTCCATAAAGTAGAAACCCATTTTCAAACAATTTGAGATGAGGGGAGAAAATTACTCCTAGATTTTGAAAAATGGCAATCTCTTGATTCATACATTTCCTGTTTGAGGTTGGCTTTAAGTCGGTTTTCCACTAGGCGAATTTATTCGTGCGAATTGAAAGCGTCGGTTCATGCGCACGTGCATTGACTTTTCTATCGTAGTTTTCGCTTCAGCGAAATTAGTAGTTCAAATAGTTTGTTGTGAAGCGAAATGCGAACCAACGCTTTTCATTCGCGCGAATAAATTTGTCTAGTGGAAAACCAGCTTCAAAGCTAGCTATGATCAACCTATTAAGCTGTGGTATAGCATTTTTCCTCAGATTGTTATTCAGCTGTGTTAATGATATATTTGTTTATATTCAGGGCTATCGAATCCCGAAAGGTTGGACCGTGCTTTACAGTATCAAGGACACCCATATGAATGCTGATATCTTCACAGACAAACGTCAGTTCGATCCCGAAAGGTTTAACGAGCAGCGAGCCGAGGACAAGAAAAACAGGTCGCACTACCTGCCATTTGGTGGCGGTCCTCGTACATGCGCTGGTCAGTCTTTTGCACTCATCTCTTTGAAGATCTTGACAATATGCTTGGCGCGGTCATGTAGCTGGGAGATTCAGAACCCGGGAAATATCAAGATAAAGCAACTACCTGTTCCGCATCCCAGATGCGGAATGCCGAGTAAGTTCACCGCCCAAAGCTTTAATATCAGCAGTGAAACCTACTAATATGTGCTGATGAAAAATTAAAAAAAAAAAGTAGTGTGTATGTGGATTAGTAGTATGTAAAAATATTTCTATCGTCATTTTGTTCATAGCACCAGACTGCATGGTCTCCAGACTTGTCTTCCTTTAAAAGAATTTTAATTGTATTTTGTGTTCACCCAAAGGTGTAATGTGTACATTATATGTACTAAAATGTTTTTATTTGGAGAGCTTAGCTCAAGTACTCAAAGTAATTACATGTGTTTATTAAATATTAGTAATATTGGCAGTAATGTTCAAATGTGTTGATGAATCCATCTATTTAAAAAAAAAAGAATTATAGCACCATTATGATTAACTTCGTTCAAATGTATTACTGTATTTTACCAATGGGCAGTAATAATATTTAATGACATTAATGACTCTCTTATTAAAGGGAGCTCCAATGAAAGAACACCTCTAAGTAGCCCATCATTCTGCAGTCCCAAATGAATGCCTAATCTTATATCTGTTTGATAATATTTTTTTCTAATTAAAGACCAAAGCTGCTAAAGACCATGAAAACCCCAGTCCTAAATGGTCTTTAATTGAAGGGATGGAGATCTGTATGTATATAATGATAAAAATAACATGCCCCCCACCCCTCCTCCTCTTAATTTTTCAAAATTAAAAAATGGAGAAAAATTTCAGTCTGAGAGTGCCATTTCCAACCCTCTAAAGGTGCCATAATCATAATTTTCTTTTCTCAGCCCCAACAATGCTGGGGCTGAGGTGGGTGTATCCTCTATACGTAAAGGTCTCGTTAAGTCTGCAAAATGTATGAACTTTGTATTGTTAACATAAATGATAAGAATAATGATAATAATGAACAAATCATTAATGAGCATTATGTCTAGCTGTACATACCTTCAGTTTTGCTGCTGTACTTGTTTTATTATCAACCTGGATAATCTCTACCATAGTGTGCAGACTGGCCTATTCCTTTGGGAGTGTTTATAATCTCTATACCGGATGCACCTCTTTATATACTGTAATACTATTCAACATAAGAATGTTAACCCGCTGTGCGCTTTTAACTTGCATTAGGCAAGAGTTTTTTTAAATTCTTGTTTAGCGAACCTGCCAACTGCAAATATTGATGATTTCAAATAAAAATAAAATTTTATTTTTTTCCAATTAGCACACCTGCCGGCATGTAAAAGTGGAAATTTTAGAAAAAAAATAAAATGTTTTCTTTATTTTTATTACGCCCTCAGCTGCCTTAAAATAACCAAAGATAATATATGTATATTTCTTCCTAATTATATAAATTTGAAGCATTTAAACCATCCTATTTTACATTCACCAATAAAATTTTATTATTCTCTCCTCTGTCTGGCTGTTTTTGGCAAAACCATTTGCTAAATAATAAAACAAAATTTTATTTTTATTTTTATTCCGTCCTCCTCTGATGATCTTTAAAAAAATAAGTACGCAAAACAAGGAATAAAAAAAAATATAGTTTGCTAAAAGACACAAAAATCACTTATTGATTGTTGGTATCATGACTTTCCGATTGTATCATGATTCATAGTCTATTTTAGGTCAGAATTTATCCAGCGAGATAGGCCAAAAAAAATATTGTGTTGCCCAAACACGGTAAGTTTCAAAGGGTTGTTTTTTGTCAGTCGGTTGGCAATTTGAAAACTATGTATTGGTAAGCCATGCTTCACTCATTGTTAACCACCACCAGGGCATAATTATCCCGGATGGCAAGGTATCAAAGTATTTTGGGCTCTTGCTAAAAACAATTTTTGTTTGTTGCCTAAGGCCGGAGATAATCTAGGAGCTCAGGCTAAAACCTTGTGTTGAAGCACTATCAAGAAATCGGTGTCAGTTGGCATCAGTGGCTTTATCTATGAAACTTGAAATGGGGAGCTGATAGGGGGTGCGAAGGTGGAGAGGGAGGGGGCTTGATTAAGTAAGGTGCTAGGTCACAAAATAAGGTGATATGGGGTGCAGGGACGTATCCAGGGGGGAGCCGTGGGAGCCGCGGCTCCCCCCCCCCCTTTGTACACA